ACGCCAATGGGATGGGGAACTTACTGTCTGTAAAGTGGTGGTGGTAATGGTCGCTCTGTGTGTCAAGTGCTAAAGGACAGGGGGGAATGTGAGCCCAGTCTGGAGTCCCAGCACAGCACAGCTTCACGTTGGGGTGACCTACTTACAAGTGGAGAGGAACGCCAAGCCTGCCACACAGAGCCAGCAATGTGTGTCAGCTTCACCGCACAGCTCCCAGAAGTAAAGTTGTGCTCAAAGTCAGAGAGGGACACAGTCACAGAGAGAGAGAGAGAGAGAGCGCGCGAGCGAGCGAGAGGAAACTAATGTCATAGCAGCGAGAGAGGCAGAGTCATTCAAAGACACTGAGAGAGACACAGACACTGAGCGAGTGAGAAAACCAGAGAGCCAGCCAGGCAGGCAGCGTAAGGCAGAGGAAGTGGGAGAGAGAACCAGAAACAGACAGACAGTGAGGGAGGACGAGTCAGATAGACATAGAATCAGAGGAAATCAGAGACATAGACTAGACAGAGGCAAATGGATCAGAGAGACTGAGATACACAACATACACAACACGCATAAACACACCACCACCATAATAATAATAATCCTTGCATTTGATATAGCGCTATTCACGTCTTCGAGACGTCTCAAAGCGCTTCACAGAATAGACTGTAAAGTGAATTGACTGTACATTTTGTGGGCAAAATCTATGATTTTATGATGTAAGCTGTGTGTGTTGTGTATGTTATGTGCTGTGTGTATGGTGTAAGCTGTGTGTGTTGTGTATGTTATGTGCTGTGTGTATGGTGAAAGCTGTGTGTGTTGTGTGTGTTATGTGCTGTGTGTATGATGTAAGTTGTGTGTTGTAGTGTGTGACGTGCCTTGTGTATGGTGTAAGCTGTGTGTTGTAGTGTGTGTTATGTGCTGTGTGTATGGTGTAAGCTGTGTGTTGTGTGTGTGAGTGCTTTGAACCCAGGCAGTGACTGGCTCAGCTCAGAATCTGCATTGCAGAGAGCTGGCAGCCATGAGTCTGTTCCTTAATCAGCCACGTGTGACGTAACAGGAGACACAACGCTGTCACCCCCACACAGGCACATCCCAAATCCACTAAATCTGCCAACTTTCTCTTTCCCATCCTGTCCCCTCCCACGTGTCAGTGAGGATCGTGATGGGGAGCAGCAGGCTGGCTGGGGCCGGCAGCGTTTGCTGGAACATTTCTTGCTGAATTGGAAGATTCCTGAATTGGAACCGAGGATTTTCATTCTAACTGCAGCGCCGCTCGAGGTGTCACTGTCTCGAGAATCTAAGAGTTGTGCAGCACAGAACGAGGCCATTCGGCCAATCGAGTCTGCACCGGCTCTCAGAGCGAGCTGTTTTTAGTCCCACTGCCCTGCCCTATCCCTTCCCCTCCCCACAACCTCCCCCCTTAAACCTCCAGCCTTCATATCCTGTATCTTATATATAGTCATGACACTCAATCCTCGACTGTTTGTGGGGACACTGCTGTGCACAATTGGCTGCCGCGCTTCGCCCACAAAATATACAGTCAAATTCACATTACAGTACATTCTGTGAAGCACTTTGAGATGTCTCAATGACGTGATAATAAATACAAGAATTATTATTATTATTATCCTCTTGTGCTCTGCCTCTCCCACGTTACTTGGCATGGCATTCGATGTCCCGACTATGTGTGAAAAAGATGACCAAAGGCACAGTGTCAAAGAGGAAGGTCTTAAGAACATAAGAGATGCTAGACAAAAAAAAGACCAAGGTCCAGCTAGTTCGCCTTCCACCTTCCTGGCTGTCGCCTGCATATATGTCCCAAACTCCCTACGTACTATATCTCATAATGTTATTTCCTAAAAGAAAACTGTAGTGAGATGGGCTTGAAGAAGCAAGGGAGGGGCGAGGCGAAGGGACTGTGCCATGGAGATCTAAGCGTTGTATGATTCCACTTCATGGCTGTTTGTGGGGCCGTTGTTATGCACATATTTGATGGTGTGTTCGCCTTCACATACACACAGTCACTACACTTCACAGTAAAATCCTGTGAAACACTTTGAGAATTCCTTCTAACGTGAAAGACGTTGACTGAGTCTATGTGGTTCTACGAGGATCATTAATGACGATTTATTCTGCGCTGTGATGTGATGGGCACAGAGTGTGTGGCCTGGACACTGAGAGCTGGTCGGCATCACAGTCAATCTCAATCCCTCTCTGACCTCCTCAGGGTTCTGAAATTCCGATGGGGATAGACTGGGACGTGGAATCAGACAGCAGTGCTGAGCGCTGTACTGTGTAGCCTGTCTGTGTTGGGATTACATATAACAGAGTACTGTAGACTCTAGTTCCCCGCTGCGCTGCTCAGCGAGGGTTGCGATCAATAACTCAGGCCATTGGAGGAGCAGAGCTGTGAGCGTGGAACATGGGCAGATGCTCGCTCGATGGCTGAGTGTGTAAGTTGGTTTCCCTCTGTGTTGCGGGGGCCGTCAGCCTTGCGTCCCACACGCAGCCTGTGAAGAGTCACCTGATCTCAGCCGGGCTCCTGTAAGAGAATCTTTTGTGGCGTGTGTGACGTGCTGTGACGCTGTGCTCACTGCAGTGAGTGTGACCTTCCCCAGCACCGCAAGACACCGCACCGCAGAGCACCGCACCACACAGCACTGCAAGACACCACACCGCAGAGCACCGCACCGCACAGCAAGACACCACACCGCAGAGCACAGTACCGCACAGCACTGCACTGCACAGCACCACACAGCTCAGCAACGCACAGCACCGCAGAGCACAGTACCGCACAGCACTGCACATCACATCGCCACACATCACCACACAGCACAGCACTGCACATCACCACACTGCACAGCACATCACCACACACCACCGCACAGCACAGCACAATACTGCACAGCACCACACAGCTCAGCAACGCACAGCACCGCAGGGCACAGTACCGCACAGCACTGCACATCACATCGCCACACATCACTGCACAGCACAGCACTGTACAGCACATCATCACACAGCACCGCACAACACTGCACAGCACATCACATCACCACACAGCACCGCACAGCATTGCACATCACCACACAGCACAGCACTGCACATCACCACACTGCACAGCACATCACCACACACCACTGCACAGCACAGCACAATACTGCACAGCACCACACAGCTCAGCAACGCACAGCACCGCAGGGCACAGTACCGCACAGCACTGCACATCACATCGCCACACATCACTGCACAGCACAGCACTGTACAGCACATCATCACACAGCACCGCACAACACTGCACAGCACATCACATCACCACACAGCACCGCACAGCATTGCACATCACCACACAGCACATCACCACACACCACTGCACAGCACCACACCGCATAACACTGCATAGCAAAGCACCGCACAGTACAGCACCGCCCAGTACAGCAACACACAGCACCATACAGCACACAGCACAGTACAGCACCGCACAGCATTGCACAGCATTGCACAGAACACAGCACCGCACAGTACAGCACACAGCACAGTACAGGACCACATAGCACAGAACCACATACAGCACAGCACCCACAGCATAGCACCACACAGCACAGCAGCCACAGCGCCCACAGCACAGCAGCCACAGCGCCCACAGCACAGCAGCCACAGCGCCCACAGCACAGCAGCCACAGCGCCCACAGCACAGCGCCCACAGCACAGCAGCCACAGCGCCCACAGCACAGCAGCCACAGCGCCCACAGCACAGCAGCCACAGCGCCCACAGCACAGCGCCCACAGCACAGCAGCCACAGCGCCCACAGCACAGCATCTACCGCACAGCAAAGCACAGCACACAGAAACACATGAGGCCACTATCAGCTCAGCACAATAATGCTTTCTGTCATTGTCTTTGTGGTTGAACTTGACATGCAAGTCCTGTTCCCCCCTCCACCCCCCTCCTCACACTAACCCACCCACTCTTACCCCCCCCCCACACACCCCACTCTCACCCCCACCTCATCACTGTCAGGGCCCCTCCCCACTCTCATGTATGTATGTGTATAGTCTATGTTTCTGTGTAGTACGCATGTGTGAGTGTAGTGTGTGTAGGTATGTGTGCAGTCTGTGTGTATCAGGTTTGACCCCCAATTATCCTTCCTCTCCCACATCCGGTCCCTCACCAGCACCGCTTTCTTCCACCTCCAACGCATCGCCCGTCTCCGCCAATACCTCTCCCCAAAAGCCGCTGAAACCCTGGTCCATGCCTTTGTCACCTCTCGGTTGGTCAATTCAAATGCCCTCCTCGCCGGCCTCCCCTCCACTGCCATCCACAAAATCCAGATTATTCAAAACTCTGCCGCCCGCATTCTCACCCGCACCAAACTCCGCTCCCCGATCCCCCCAGTCCTGGCCAGACTGCACCGGCTGCCTGTCCCAGAGAGGATCCACTTCAAGATCCTCACCCTTGTCTTCAAATCCCTCTACTCCTCTGCACCCCCCGACCTCTCTGACCTCCTCTCTCCTCAAAACAGTACCCGTTGCCTTCGTTCCTCCGGGTCTGGCCTCCTCCTCGTCCCCCGAGTGCTCCGTTCCACCCTCGGCGGCCGTGCCTTCATCACTATGCCCCGAGGCTCTGGAACTCCCTTCCTCACTCCCTTCGCCTCACCCCCTCTCTTCCTACTTTCAGGTCTCTGCTGAAGACCTTTCTTTTCGACCGCAACTTTGGTCACCTTCCTCCCCTCCCCCGGCCCCTCCCCCTGGCTCGGCCCCGGGATCCGTTATTGTGAAGTGCTCTGCGACACCGTCTGGCGTGGAGGGCGCTATATAAACCAAGTTGTTGTTGTTGTGTGTGTATGTGTGTGCAGTCTGTGTGTGTATGTGTGTGCAGTCTGTGTGTGTAGTGTGTGGGTGTGTGTGCAGTCTGTGTGTTGTGTATGTGTGTGAGGCACTGTATAACCAGCTGATACAATGGCCTGGCTTCCTTGTAGGTGTGTTGATGTGTGTTTGCTATCTGCTTCCCACAGATCCATGTCTGTACATCCCGAGGTTCGCACACATGCTGGAGTTTGCGGACAAGACACACGAGGTGTCCATGACGGCACTGCGGCTGCTGCAGAGGATGAAGCGGGACTGGATGCACACGGGGCGACGTCCGTCAGGGCTGTGTGGAGCAGGTGTGTGTGTCAGCATGTCACACTGTGTGGTCAGGGCTGTGTGAGTGTGTGTGAGCATGTCACACTGTGTGGTCAGGGCTGTGTGAATGTGTGTGAGCATGTCACACTGTGTGGTCAGGGCTGTGTGAGTGTGTGTGAGCATGTCACACTGTGTGGTCAGGGCTGTGTGAATGTGTGTGAGCATGTCATACTGTGTGGTCAGGGCTGTGTGAGTGTGTGTGTGTATCAGCATGTCACACTGTGTGGTCAGGGCTGTGTGTGTGTGTGTGTATCAGCATGTCACACTGTGTGGTCAGGGCTGTGTGTGTGTGTATGTGTGTGTGAGGATGTCACACTGTGTGGTCAGGGCTGTATGTGTGTGTGTGTCAGTACTACACACTGTGTAGAACGCTTGCCTCACAAGCGAGAGGACCCAGGTTCCATTCCCAAAACCTAAGGCAAGTTTCCTTACTCCACACACCTCTGTTTCCCCAGCAGTAAGTAGGGACCTGTAGGCTGGTCAAGGGAGGGGAGAAGGGTAGGGGCAACACCGACTATGTGTGTGGGAAGAGGTTGTGTGTGTGTGTGTGTGGGGGGGGGGGAGGGAGCGGGGTGCAGTCGGTGGGAGATGGGAACAGTGTATTACACGTGCCCACAATCCAACCAAGCTCTCCACTATCAGAGCCTGGGGTGGAGACTGGTCGCCAGTGTGTCACAGTGAGTGATTGGGGGTGGGGGGAGAGGGGGGCTGAGCAGGGACGCAGGGACAGGAAGCGGCCACCCAGCCTGTTCACTAGATCGTGGCGGATGATTTATCCCATTTCCCTATCTCTCCTTCTCTTCCCATATCTCTTACACCCCCAGCTTCCCCAATGTCTTATCTAATTCCCTGTTATTTTATGGCCAATTGATTGAGCCTCGGCTGTTCCTGTGGGACGGTGCCCTTAGAGCCCGCTGCGAAGAGAGGATTCTGATCTCACTCTTGCTCTCGCTTTCTCCTCCCTGAGCTCCGACTAAAATCATCTCCTTGTTTTGATCCTGTACCAGAGGGAGGGGCACGGGCCTATGTACGTACACTCGCTTCTCTCCCCCCCCACGCTCCCCGCAGGCCCAGTCAGAAAGATCCCACTCCCGCAGGGTACAGTCACTACAGTCGTAAGCGCAGAAGTATTTGCTGGTGAAGAAAGACCAAGGTCCATCTAGTTTAGTCTTCCACCATCCTGGCAGTCGTTTGATGTGTCGTGTCTCAAATTATAATCACAAATTATGTTTACATTTTTGAACAGCGCCCTGCTGTATGTACTGTGTTCCCAGGTATTATTTTCGAGCAGAAATGAATCTAATTTGTTCGTGAAACAAAGAACACTTTCTGCTTCCACAGTCTCCCCAGGGAGCCTGTTCCATACATTTACTACTCGCTCACTGAAGTAGTGTCTCTACAGATTTGTTCTGAATTTAGCGCCTTCAATCACATGCCGCTTCTTCTGGTTCTACTGTTCAATACAAGATAAAACAGCTTCTCGTGGCCTACATTACCCAGTCCCTTCAGAATCTTAAAGACTGTCATCATATCCCCCTCAACCTTCTCACAGAGACGCCCACTCCCCAGAGGTTACAATCAGAGATAACTACTCACTGACCACACATGGCAACACCATATGCCTGGCAATAATCTGCGTGCCCTTACTCTGAGCCGGGCAATGGTGCGTGGCAGTGGAAGGGGGTGGGGGAGGGTGGAGGTAAACTGAACATTCTGGTTTAGACTCTGGCTCGCTCCTCTGAGCCGTGTGCTGTGTTGTTTCCTCAGCGCTGCTGGTTGCTGCCAGGATGCACGATTTCCGCAGAACCGTCAAGGAGGTCATTCGTGTGGTGAAAGTCTGCGAGTCCACACTCAGGAAGAGGTGAGGCAGCCTGGTTAACACTGACACCGCTACACAGTCTGATATTAACAGTGACACCTCTATACAGTGTTAGTGACACCTCTATACAGTGTTAGTAACACCTCTATACAGTGTTAGTGACACCTCTATACAGTGTGTTAGTGACACCTCTATACAGTGTTAGTAACACCTCTATACAGTGTTAGTGACACCTCTATACAGTGTGTTAGTGACACCTCTATACAGTGTTAGTGACACCTCTACACAGTGTTAGTGACACCTCTATACAGTGTTAGTGACACCTCTATACAGTATTAGTGACACCTCTATACAGTGTGTTAGTGACACCTCTATACAGTGTGTTAGTGACACCTCTACTCAGTGTTAGTGACACCTCTATACAGTGTTAGTGACACCTCTACACAGTGTTAGTGACACCTCTACACAGTGTTAGTGACACCTCTATAGTGTTAGTGACACCTCTATACAGTGTGTTAGTGACACCTCTATACAGTGTGTTAGTGACACCTCTATACAGTGTGTTAGTGACACCTCTATACAGTGTTAGTGACACCTCTATACAGTGTGTTAGTGACACCTCTACACAGTGTTAGTGACACCTCTACACAGTGTGTTAGTGACACCTCTATACAGTGTTAGTGACACCTCTATACAGTGTATTAGTGTCATCTCTATACAGTGTGTTAGTGACACCTCTATACAGTGTTAGTGACACCTCTATACAGTGTGTTAGTGACACCTCTACACAGTGTTAGTGACACCTCTATAGTGTTAGTGACACCTCTATAGTGTTAGTGACACCTCTATACAGTGTGTTAGTGACACCTCTATACAGTGTTAGTGACACCTCTACACAGTGTTAGTGACACCTCTAGACAGTGTGTTAGTGACACCTCTATACAGTGTTAGTGACACCTCTATACAGTGTATTAGTGTCATCTCTATACAGTGTGTTAGTGTCATCTCTATACAGTGTGTTAGTGACACCTCTATACAGTGTTAGTGACACCTCTATACAGTGTGTTAGTGACACCTCTATACAGTGTTAGTGACACCTCTGTGTAGTCTGATATTAACAGTGACACCTCTACATAATAACAATATAATAATATAATATACATATAATATACATATATAATATATACTAGGTGTCAGGTTCGACCCCCAATTATCCTTCCTCCCCCACATCCGGTCTCTCACCAGCACTGTTTTCTTCCACCTCCAACGCATCGCCCGTCTCCGCCAATACCTCTCCCCAAAAGCCGCTGAAACCCTGGTCCATGCCTTTGTCACCTCTCGGTTGGTCTATTCAAACTCCCTCCTCGCCGGCCTCCCCTCCACTGCCATCCACAAAATCCAGATTGTACAGAACTCTGCCGCCCGCATTCTCACCCGCACCAAACTCCGCTCCCCGATCCCCCCAGTCCTGGCCAGACTGCACCGGCTGCCTGTCCCAGAGAGGATCCACTTCAAGATCCTCACCCTTGTCTTCAAATCCCTCCACTCTTCTGACCTCCTCTCTCCTCAAAACAGTACCCGTTGCCTTCGTTCCTCCGGGTCTGGCCTCCTCCTTGTCCCCCGAGTACTCCGTTCCACCCTCGGTGGCCGTGCCTTCATCACTATGCCCCGAGGCTCTGGAACTCCCTTCCTCACTCCCTTCGCCTCACCCCCTCTCTTCCTACTTTCAGGTCTCTGCTGAAGACCTTTCTTTTCGCCTGCGCCTTTGGTCACCTTCCCCCCCCCTCTGGCTCCTCCCCCTCCCCCAGCTCCTCCCCCTCCCCCCGCTTCCTCCCCTCCCCCCCTGGCCCTCCCCTCCCCGGCCCTCCCCTCCCCCGGCCCCTCCCCCCCCGGCCGGCCCCTCCCCCGTGGCTCCGCCCCCTCCCCTGGCCCCTCCCCCCGGCTCGGCCCCGGGATCCGTTACTGTGAAGCTCTGAGACGCCGTCCGGCGTGGAGGGCGCTATATAAATCCCAGTTGTTGTTGTACATACTTAACAGTGATCTCTGTCGTGTCTGATAATCATTGTGATTCTGCCGATCACGAGGACATTATTGGGCAGAAAACAGCTGTAAACTTTGTGCTGAGGTTTGTGAGATGCCGTGGCGATGAGTGAGTGTAACCTCAGCACCTGCAACCTCTCAGCCTCAGAGGCCAGAGTCAATCGGGGCAATGGTTAAGCTAACCTCAGTGCTCCCCCAGGATCCCTGAGTCACCCCCCTGCCTCCACTCCGTGTACACATGGGAAAACTGGTGTCTGATTTACAACCATTTCATCCAGATTAATTGTGAGTTAATTTTGACGACCTCTGGGATTTGGGAACCCATCTGGACTCCGGTGCAAACCCCTGACTGACTGTCCAGGGCCTGGAGACGTCTTCCCGATGTGAAAGGTGCTCTGTACATGTCATTTGTTGTTGATTTGTATCATAATGATAATCCTTGCATTTGATATATTGCCTCATCACGTCTTCGAGACGTGTCACAGGGCATTATAGAATATACTGTAAACTGTTTGTGGGGACTCTGCTTTGTGCAATTGGCTGCCGCGTTTTGCTCACAAAATGTACAGTCACTACACTTTGCAGTATATCCTGTGAAGTGCTTTGAGGCGTCTAGAAGAGGTGATCAGGCGCTGTATTATATTATAGTAATCTAGCAGTAGGTCAGACAGAGACTGGGTGCCTGGGGAGTGTAAAGGCCACGTTGGCAAATGGCTTTTTTAATGAGTCCCGGTGGAAATCCCTAGCGAGCTGCTTAAATGACTGTTAGAGGGAAAGGCACAGAGACAGCGAGCAGAGCCTTCGATCCAATGCTCCCTCCCGGCCACATAATATAATGTCTCTTAATGTCAGTCAGCGCCTCGCTCAGCTCAGCTGGGGAGGATTCTGCCGGTGCGTGTGTCTGCTCTGGTAATTGAGCAGTAATTGTTGGTTGAAGGACAGCAGAGATGGCAGTCAGTCTCCAAATGGGGTCAACCTGGCTCAGTCTCTCACACTTTCCCTTTGTCAGAAGTTGTGGGCTCATGGCCTACTTGGAGCTCACAGTCTAGCCTGACATTCCAGTGTCGGGCGGGGGAGCAGGGAAGGGGAATAGCGGAAGTGCCATCCTGTTACAGGTGCAGTCCTTAGGATGAGGCGTTCCACCTGTCTATGCCTGTTCAGATGGACCTTAAAGATCCCATGGTACATTGGAAAAGAGAAGTTCGTCCCTCACTTCTCTGTTCTGGTGCTCGCTCCCCAACTGGAGCTCTCTACAACAACAACAAAATTACACTTGCCTTTCACGTCGGGAGGACGTCCCAAGGCGCTGGACAGTCAATGTTTCAGATCCGAGCTGGGGGTCGGAGTCGGGGAGGGTGGAGAACCAGGATCTTGAACTGTATCCTCTGTGCGATGGGAAGCCAGTGGAGTCGGGCGAGGATGGGGGTGATAGGGTCACGGAGCCCGGGGCGGGAGAGGACACGGCTGCAGAGTTCTGGATGATCTGCAGCCTGTGAAGGGAGGAGTTGGGGGGCCGACAAGCAATGAGTTTGAGTAGTCGAGCCTGGATGTTATGAATGAGTGCATGAGACTCAGCGCCTGCGGAGTGAGACAGTAGTGGAGCCGAGTGATGTTGCGGTGGGGGAAGGCAGAGCGGGTCATGGCATGGATCGGGGGTAGAAAGGACAGTTGAGGGTCAAACAAGACGCCAAGGTTCGGGACTGGCTCAGTGAGGGGGAGTGGGCGACCATGGACGGTGATGCTGTCAGCGCCTGAGGTGAGGAGGCGCTGATGGGAGCCAATCAGGAGAGCCTCGGTCTTGTTGACGTTCAACTGAAGAAAGTTCGCTCTCATCCAGAGATGATGATGTCTGACAATCCCAATTCCCTGCTCTCTCCCCATCGTGTCTGTGCTGGTGCTCACTCCCTCATTACTCTAAACCCAGCTGAGGCAGTGCTAGGGATACTGTCGGCAGTCCTTGTGTCTGATGCGGGACAGGGAAATAAAGGCTCCTGAACCCAGTGCCCCTCTGGGATGTGAGTGAGCATAACGTCAGGTTCAGGGAGCTGGGGAGCAAACGGGAAGCTGTAAAGACTCGTCGGCGACCTCTGAAAGCAACTGACTTGCTTCTTGTGAGAACAGAAACACTGATAATGAGTCACGTTGTTTCTGTCACGCTCCGGCTATCACCATGTGCTTCCTGGCTCTCCTAGGCATCAGGGCCTTGCTGAGCTGGGCTGTGCCACAATTTCAACAACAACAACAACTTGGATTTATATAGCGCCCTCCACGCCGGACGGCATCTCAGAGCGCTTCACAGTAATGGATCCCGGGGCCGAGCCAGGGGGAGGAGGAGGAAGGAGACCAAAGGTGCGGTCGAAAAGAAAGGTCTTCAGCAGAGACCTGAAAATAGGAAGGAAGTGAGCGAGACGAAGGGAGTGAGGAAGGGAATTCCAGAGCCTCGGGCATAGTGTCTGAAGGCACGGCCACCGAGGGTGGAGCGGAGGACTCATGTCAGGAGGACATCTCAAAGTTCTTTGCAGGATTCACTGCAAAGAGAATTGGACCAATTTTTTGGGGGGGATTGCTGGCCATGATCCCGAGATAAACTCCCTTCTCTTTCCCAATAGTTTTATGGGATCTTTAACACCCACCTGAATAGGCCTGTGTCTGAATAGATTTGGTTCAATGTCTCGTCCAAAAGACAGCACCTCTGGCAATGAAACATTCCCGCAACCTGCACTGTGAACTCAAAGTCCTTCACCTGGGGCTTGAACCCACAGCGTCCCAGCCCAGAGGCGTGCTGTGCTGGGTTAGACTGGGCTGGGCTGTGCTGGGTTATACTGGGCTGGGCTGTGCTGGGTTAGACTGGGCTGGGCTGTGCTGGGTTAGACTGGGCTGGGCTGTGCTGGGTTAGACTGGGCTGGGCTGTGCTGGGTTAGACTGGGCTGGGCTGTGCTGGGTTAGACTGGGCTGGGCTGTGCTGGGTTAGACTGGGCTGGGCTGTGCTGGGTTAGACTGGGCTGGGCTGTGCTGGGTTAGACTGGGCTGGGCTGGGTTAGACTGGGCTGTGCTGGGTTAGACTGGGCTGTGCTGGGTTAGACTGGGCTGTGCTGGGTTAGACTGGGCTGTGCTGGGTTAGACTGGGCTGGGCTGTGCTGGGTTAGACTGGGCTGTGCTGGGTTAGACTGTGCTGGGTTAGACTGGGCTGGGCTGTGCTGGGTTAGACTGGGCTGGGCTGTGCTGGGTTAGACTGGGCTGGGCTGGGTTAGACTGTATGAGGCTGGACTGTGCCAGGCTGGGCTGGGCTGCCTGCACTCGGTGACAATGTTAAAAGCTAAGGCTGAGGCACAGCAGATCAGAGTGTCTGGTGTCAGAGTGGCTTCCCAGCTCACACAGCTGTCTTGCACCTTCTCTAGACTGACAGAGTTCGAGGAGACGCCAACCAGCCAGCTAACAATTGAGGAGTTTATGAAGATCGACCTGGAGCAGGAGTGTGACCCTCCGTCCTTCACCGCGGGCAAGAAGAAGATCAAACTCCAGCAGGTACTGAGGGCAGCCACACACACAGCCCAGCCCCAACCGCAGGCCTGACGCTAGCCCTAAGCCCAGCCCCCAGACAAGCCATAACCTCAGCCGAGCCCTAACCTCAGCCCAGCCCCCAGACAAGCCATAACCTCAGCCGAGCCCTAACCTCAGCCCAGCCCCCAGACAAGCCATAACCTCAGCCGAGCCCTAAGCCCAGCCCTAACCCCAGCCCTAACCACACACACCCCAGCCCAGTCTGGCACCCAAACTACACACACCCCAACCCAGCCCAGCCTGGCACCCAAACCACACACCCCAGCCCAGCCTGGCACCCAAACTACACACACCCCAACCCAGCCCAGCCTGGCACCCAAACCACACACACCCCAGCCCAGCCTGGCACCCAAACTACACACACCCCAACCCAGCCCAGCCTGGCACCCAAACCACACACACCCCAATCCAGCCCAGCCTGGCACCCAAACCACACACACCCCAGCCCAGCCTGGCACCCAAACCACACACACCCCAGCCCAGCCTGGCACCCAAACCACACACACCCCAGCCCAGCCTGGCACCAAACCACACACACCCCAGCCCAGTCTGGCACCCAAACTACACACACCCCAGCCCAGCCTGGCACCCAAACCACACACACCCCAGCCCAGCCTGGCACCCAAACTACACACACCCCAACCCAGCCCAGCCTGGCACCCAAACCACACACACCCCAATCCAGCCCAGCCTGGCACCAAACCACACACACCCCAGCCCAGCCTGGCACCCAAACCACACACACCCCAGCCCAGCCTGGCACCCAAACCACACACACCCCAGCCCAGCCTGGCACCCAAACTACACACACCCCAACCCAGCCCAGCCTGGCACCCAAACCACACACACCCCAACCCAGCCCAGCCTGGCACCCAAACCACACACACCCCAACCCAGCCCAGCCTGGCACCCAAACCACACACACCCCAGCCCAGCCTGGCACCCAAACCACACACACCCCAACCCAGCCCAGCCTGGCACCCAAACCATACACACCCCAGCCCAGCCTGGCACCCAAACCACAGAGACGTGGCCTCTTGTCTCTGACTGGGTTTCTGTTGTATTTTCTAACAATTTAATCGCTGAGCAAGGATTGTGTTAAACCGAACTCTGAGAAATCAGGGTTTTGAGTCCCGTAGTGTGGTGCTTAGAGCACTCACCTCGCATACATGAGGACCTGGGTTTGATTCCCAGGCAGGGCAAAACATTAGGCAAGTTTCCTTACTCCACACGCCTCTGATTATCTAGCAGTAAGTAAGAACCCATGTGTTAGTCGATTGGCAGATTGCTTTCTGGGGATATTTATCCCTATAGAAAATCCACGACTGTTGAGCACAATTGACTGCCACGTTTTGCCCACAAAATGTACAGTCAATCCACTTCACAGTGTATTCTGTGAAGCGCTTTGAGACATCTCAACAAATTGTTATGGCGCTATATCAAATGCGAGAATTATTAATAATTTTTGTTGTTGCCCTGCCTGGTGTCTGTCCACCATGAAATGAGTCAGAGCCTTGCATGATGATGATGATGATGATGATAATAATAATAATAATAGGCCTTGCATTTGATATAGCGCCTTATCAAGTCTTCTAGACATCTCAAACTACTTCGCAGAAACTGGTGCTTAACATGGAAGGGGCTGTATAGACAGTAGTAGGTGGCTGTTCCTGTGGAGTGAGGAGTCAGGGTTACTGTAAGCCGATCGCAGAGGAGCTGAGCTGGGAGGGAGGTCAGAGTGAGACCGGTGTGACAAGTGACTTTCTTTCTTGCAGCTGGAACAGGAACTGGCCAAGAAGCTGGAGGATGTTGAAGGTAACAAGACGCCATCTCTCCTCTTTCATGGAGATATTAAACTCTATAGATCCAAACATTATCCCCCAGTTCATTTGTCTCCAGCCTCTCTTTGTCGCTCATTCCTCTGCTCCACCATCGGTGGCCGTGCCTTCACCCACCATACCCTGAAACTCTCTCCCTCGATCCCTCTGCCTTGCCTCCTCCCTCTCCAATTCCTGCCTAAAAACCTTCCTGTATTAATTGTTTAATTGTGCTTATGGTCACCTCCCTCTCTCCCCGGCTTGGGGTCAGACTCCGTCACTGTCAAGTGAAGGGTACGTCACGTTAACCCAGTGAAGGGCGCTGTATAAATACAAGTTGTTGCTGTTAATTATGAAATGAAAAGTGTCGTGAACCCTTTGTTAAGGTGAGATCACCATCTACCAGGACGAGATCGAGACAGAGCTGGAGATCAGCCGGCCCAGGTTCCGGGGCATGTACGCCAATTACGCCAAAGGAGGTGAGGGACGTGTGTGTGTGGGAGTGTGTGTGTGAGAGTGTGTGTGTGGGAGCGTGGGTGTGTGAGAGTATATGTGTGAGAGTGTGTGAGAGTGTGTGTGTGACAGGACGGTGGTAACATCTCCATTCTCTCCCCAATGGTATATGTGAGTGCTGTGTGATACATCCCTTTAGATACATTGCCCATCAGTGACGAGTCGCTTTAATACAGTGAGCGTGAGAGACGCCAATATCTGGATAGCCTCCACCGCCTGGGCAAGGCAAGCCTTCACCCTCACCCCCATCCCCAACCTCACCACCACCCTCACAGCCACCCACAGCCCCTCCCACACCCCCACACACACCCTCAGCTCCACCCTCACCCGCTATATTCACCCCCACACTCACTCCCCGGGAGAACAGATGGGGTTTAGAGAAAGAATGTGTAGGGGGGGGGGAGAGAGAGAACCCAGAGCATTAATACTGTGCCAGATACTATGCTCACAGAAAGACACATTTGACCATTTGACTCCACGGTGGGGGAGTGAGGTTACTAGAGTTCAGCTGTAGTCATGTACGAGGAGGGAGGTAATCGGTGCAGGGGGTATTGAGATGGAATTGGATGGATTTGGGGTTGTGAAGGGGAGGAGAGTGGATGTGAGAGGGGGAGTGATGGGATGGATTGTGTTTTTGGAGCGTAGCATTGGTCCAGGTTAAAGGCCGATAATTGAATAGGTGACAACAGCTGCTACTCCTCACTGCGTGTCCACACACACACACAGACACACATACATAGGATTGGAGCCGGTCTCTTCCCCCCGGAGAGACCTGATAATGCACCCGGTGGACAAACAATGGTGAGTTTGTTCCATTCTGTCCAAACACTTCACAGCAGTTACAATAGCCACACGCAAATCCCACTCCCCTCCTGACCTCCTCACTGTAGGGTTTACTTTGTACACACTCCGTCCTTCTGCTCAGTGGGCAGCCCCCTGGCCTCAGGGTTCCAGCTTGTGACCCTGAGCCCTCCACCCCTCCCACTCCCCTCATCAGGGCTGATAGGCTGATACTCCAAACAAACTCTAGATAAACACATGAAGATTAATATAACAGGGATAAAGGAAAGTGGGGTTAGAGTAGAGCGCTCCAGTGGGGGAGCGAGCCCCAGCACAGACACCATGGGGAGAGAGAGAGAGCAGGGAATGGGGTTAGGAACCCGGTTGTGAGCCAATTGGCAGATTGCTTTCCAAGCAAAATAATCCCTTCCAAATCAATAAATAATAATTTGGTCACTCAATCCACGACTGTTTGTGGGACGCTGCTGTGCACAATTGGCTGCCACGTTTCGCCCACAAAATATACAGTCAATAAATTTCACAGTGTATCCTGTGAAGCGCTTTGAGATGTCTCCTTTGATCTCCTCTGTGTCCCCCGAATCCTCCGCTCCACCATTGGCGACCATGCCTTCAGCCACCTCGAAACTTCGGAACTCCCTCCCTCAACCCCTTCGCCTCGCCCCCTCCCCCCATCTTCAGGTCACCCCTGAAAATCTTTTTGACTGCGCCTGTGGTCACCTTCCTCCTCCCCCCTGGCTCGGCCGTGGGCTCCACCATTGTTAACCTCTCTGAGACGTCGCCTGGCGTGGAGGGCGCTATATAAGCGCAAGTTGTTGTTGTCTCGGGGACATGATAAGACTCTAAATCGAATGCAAGGATTATTGTTGTTGTTGCAGATGGGCTGGGGGATGGGGTGTCGGTGACCTCCAGCGCACCGGGTGAGGATGAGGAAGATGAAGAACTAGCGGCGGCTGCGGACCACCTGAACAAGGAGTTTTACAGCGAGTACGTGGAGGAGCCCCCCAGCCCGGAGACCGCCCGGCCTGAGTCCCCCCTACCCAAAGCCCACGACATCAGCTCCCTGCTCGGTCCCCTCCCCACCGCGGCCAGCCTCGGCCTGCAGGAGTCCATCCAGGAGTGTATCGCTGGCGATGAGGGGGAGGCCGGTGAGTCTGCCGGGGGGGGGGGCTAGTGGGGGAGGGGGTAGCCAGAGAGGGGGTTTAGGGTGGAGGGGGAACTTGTCGAGTATTGTTGACGAGCACCATTGTAAGCCATTCTGTTGGTTATTGTTGTCTGAGCCTCGGAGGTGAATGCTGGGCTGGTCCTTCTCCATCAGACACCACACATGAACCCACACATTCACACTCACAGACCCTGACGAGATGGGGGAGTGGGGGGTGGGGGGAATATGGTGCTGGGAACCCTCCCTGACTTTCCCCTCCTCCTTACCCCAATAACTCTGAGGCCAGTTGTGTTCCAGTGCCCCCCCCCCCCTGCCCGTGCAGCTCAGCGCATCCACACTTTACTGCTCCATTTGCTTTGTGCAGTGCATTTTACATTGTAAGCAGATTAATACAATCTGTTCTGGCACAAGTTGCTCTGCGATGGACATGGCTGATAAAAGCAATTTTCTTCGGAAGAGAAAGGTCAGTTTCGCAGCTCATGTCGTGTTCAGCAATAATAATAATAATACTAATAATAAACTAGCAATCCATTTTGCAGAGCAATGGGGAGAGAGTGGGGGAGTGGGATTGATTTGGGAAGCTCTTTTCAAAGAGTTGGCACAGACACGATGGACTGAATGGCCTCCTCCTGTGCTGTATAATTCTATGAAGAGGATTTGATTAGACAGAATAATGTAGCTAAACAGATTCACTGGACAATTTGATATTGATGTAAAGACCAACTGGTATGAACATCAACCAGCAAAAATGACATCGAGAACCAACATCACAATAATCTGGGTTTCACATGTCCATACAGACAGGACAATCATCTATTATCTTAAAGAATGAAGTGGATTGTACATTGTTGACGTGTAAAAGGGTGCTATCTAAGTTGTTGTTTTAAAAAAAAGGAACTAGAGAAATTCAGGAAATATATCGATCGACAAATTGAATGCAGATATGCAGATATATGTGGCAATGTAAAACAAACAAATAATCATCGGTGTAACTGTGCCTGTTAATAAGACATAATATTCCAAAATGGCTTGTCAACATACCTGGTGAACAAAGTATCGACCTCCCTCAAAAAGTCGCTATTTTAATAGCTTAAATATATCAAGAAAAGTTACATCCATTCATATATAACTTGGCAGTGTTATTGGTCTGGCTGACAATCACTGAAAACTACTTAGAAACCACCTCTGCAGAGTGACTTAAACTGTAGTAACATAATAATAATAATCCTTGCATTAGTTATAGCTTCTTATCGCTTTATCAAACGCCTTTTGAACATCCATATAAACTGCATCAACAGCACTACCTTCATCCACCCTCTTCACCCTCTCCGGAATATTTTATTTGGGGGATTATTGGCCAGGGCAGTGGCCAGGTTAGTCGTGTGCATACATGCGTGCGCTTGTGTGTGTGTGTGTGTGTATATATGCATGTGCGCGCATGTGAGCGTGTTCAGAATCACCACACAGGGAGTTAGTCCCTTCACGCTTTTATTATTTTTCTTTTCAAATCTGTGTCTAATTCCCTTTTAAACATTGTGTGTGTGTGCGTGCGTGTGTGTGTGGTTAAAGGACAAGCAGACAGTATTCTATGTGAGAGGTGCTATGTCTGTGTAGGCAGTTGCTGTGTCACTGGCAGGAAAATCAAAGCTGACGTGTAACCTCCCCACCACACTGAGGGCTTCCCGAGTGCTTGACATTTCTGGATGCTGAATGGGAATTATTTATCAGACGTTAATCTCATTGTGAGGTTCTGGGGATTATTGCAAATTGCTCAGTAAATGGCTCCTGCCCAGACCCCTGACACCTCATCACTCCCGGCCTGTTTGTGGGGACTGGGAGAGGGAGAGGATGTCCCGTTGCCCTGGCCGGCAATCCTGCCACTCGTTCACCTCTGTGCCTGTTCCTGTGGGACGTCGCTCTGTGGACATTTGCTGCCGTGTTTCCCCACAAACACAAGTCACTGCACCCGACAGACGCTCCCTGTCAAAACGCTTTGAGACATTTCGACATTAACTTTCTAAAAAAAAGCGAGGATTATTATTGTAATTCTAATAGGGGAATGAAGGCTTCATTGTGATGACGGCTGTGACAAGAGTGACTGGCATTCAGGGAGATTGCAGATTGTAGATAACGTAGACCATGAGAAGCTGTTTTATCTTGTACTGAACAGTAGAATCAGAGGACACGGCCTTCGACCGCAGGGGGTGGGGGGAGGGAGGGATAAATTCAGAACAAATCTGCGTAGACACTACTTCAGTGAGCGAGTAGTAAACTTGTGGAACAGGCTCCCGAGGGAGACAGACGGTGGAAGCAGAAAGTGTTGTTTGCTTCAAGAACAAATGAGATAGATTTCTGCTGAAAAATAATATCCGGGGAGACTGTATAGTTTGGGACACAACATGTCAAGCGTCTGCCAGGATGGTGGAAGGCAAACTAGATGGACCTTGGTCTTCCTTCGCCAGCAAATCCTTATGTTCTTATTGCTGGTCTGCCTCCTCACCCCTTCAAGTCCTTATTAATCCTGATGTGAAGCATTGCTCCTGAGGGAAGCCTCTCACACACATTATGCTGGCTGCAGCATGCTGATCAGAATTCATGCCATTGATTTGGGGGGGAGGGGGTCAGGAGAAAAAAATAACTGGATTCATCAGGATTTTGTTTAAAATCTAAAGCACGCTGCCTCTCTAATACCCCAGGCATTTCTCTCTGTTTACTGCAGCTAATTGCTTAATATACTTGTGAAGAGATCACAAATCATAGAGATTACTGCACAGAAGATGATCATTTTCTCCATCGTGTCTGCTGGGGCTCTCCCCCACTGGAGCTCTCTACTCTAACCCCATTCCCTGCTCTCTCTCTCTTCCCATGGTGTCTGTGCTGGGGCTCGCTCCCCCACTGGAGCTCTACTCTAACCCCATTCCCTGCTCTCTCTCTCTCTCTCTCCCCATGGTGTCTGTGCTGGGGCTCTCCCCCACTGGAGCTCTCTACTCTAACCCCATTCCCTGCTCTCTCTCTCTCTCCCCATGGTGTCTGTGCTGGGGCTCGCTCCCCACTGGAGCTCTCTACTCTAACCCCATTCCCTGCTCTCTCTCTCTCCCCATGGTGTCTGTGCTGGGGCTCGCTCCCCCACTGGAGCTCTCTACTCTAACCCCATTCCCTGCTCTCTCTCTCTCTTCCCATGGTGTCTGTGCTGGGGCTCGCTCCCCCACTGGAGCTCTACTCTAACCCCATTCCCTGCTCTCTCTCTCTCCCCATGGTGTCTGTGCTGGGGCTCGCTCCCCCACTGGAGCTCTCTACTCTAACCCCATTCCCTGCTCTCTCTCTCCCCATGGTGTCTGGAATTCCTATTTTCCTATAATAATAATGCTTGCATTTGATATCGTGCCTTATCATGACGTTGAGACGTCTCAAAAGAATATACAGTGGCCTGGAGACAGGAAATTACTTTGAAATGAATGTTTGGGGAGCTTGCGTGGGTGACTGGAGAGTGAGTGTGGGAGGGAGGAGGAGGAGGGGGGAAGTGGAGAGTGTGAGTGTGGGAGGAGGAAGGGGAGATGTCCTAAGAAGACACTGTGTGCCTGTGTGCTGAGAGGCACAAGGACAGGGCAGACTCACTATCAGGAGGATAATTCAGTTGACACCTTGTGCTTCAATATTTCCCTGCTCAGTAAATCCCTGTCTCCCCGGGGAGTGGGGGCTTAATACAGAGCAGGGACTGGCTGTGTGGAGTGAGGTGATGGGAGGCGTGTGAGGGCTGGGCTCTGAGATAGATGGCTTCAGTGTATTTCCAGCTTCAATAACATGTTCCTCTCATTCAACCCGGGACCAGAGACAAGGTGTCGCAACTCCAGCCTCTCAAATTCCCTTCCTATCCTGGCACCTCCCTGCCCTCCTAACATGCTCACTCCGCAACCCACTCCCCGCTGCCTCTGCTCGGTGGCTCCGGCCTCCTGCTTGTCCCTCGTGCCCTCGGTTCCACCATCGGGAGCCGGGCTCACAGCTACTACTTCCCAAAACTCTGGAACTCTCTCCCTCTATCCCTCTGCCTTGCCCCCTAGTTCCCCACCTTCAGGTTGCACCTTCCTATTTGACCAGTGCCAACCAGTCCCCCCGGCTTGGATACGCTCCGCCACTGTCACTCGCTCTGGGACGCTGCCGTACGTGAGGAGCGCTGTGTAAGTTATTGTTGAGCTGGAGGCAAACGGTGAGATCCCAGAGCTGCTATCTCACACGGCGTGTCCTGGGTATGGCATGTATCAGCCTCACTGCTCAGCCACCATGCCACGCCATGCCACCCCCCGCACCACCCTCACACACATTCTCTGCTCCCACTCTCGCTCTCTGTCTTTCTTATCTTGTGTGTCTCTTGTTCTTTTTGTCTCTGGATGTGTCTGTCTTGTTCTGTCTCTCTTGTTGTGTGGGTGTGTTCTCCTCCTGCCTCTTGCTGTGTATCTCTTTCTTTCCTGTTCTTTGTCTCTCTTGATAAGTGTGCGCGTCTCTCTCCCTGTCTTTGCTGATATACAAGGACAGTGTGTGTATGTGGGTGGGGTGGGGGGTGCGAGGAGGGTGACGGGGACACTGCTTCCTCTCGGATGGGAAGTGGACAAGTGCCTCCCAGAGCACAGACGAGAGAGAAAGAGAGGCAGTCCCTGGGGAGGAGGGGCTGTTTTGTCCTGGCCATAAACCCAGCGGGACCCTCCTGACACACTCCCCGGCTCACACAGCTGTGTTAAACAGTTTAGAAGGTAGAAGTCACAGAGGTCAGTGAGCAGCGCACACGTGAGAGCCTTTGGACTCTTAAATGTAACATCCTTCCTGTAACCTCATCATCACACTCGGGAGGAAACGTGCGGAGGAAGAGAGATGGAAGCACACAAAGCACACAGTGATCATTGGAGCCTTTCTCGACTCTAACCCCATTCCCTGCTCTCTCTCTCTCTCTCCCCATCATGTCTGTGCTGGGGCTCGCTCCCCCACTGGAGCTCTCTACTCTAACCCCATTCCCTGCTCTCTCTCTCTCTCTCTCTCTCTCCCCATGGTGTCTGTGCTGGGGCTCGCTCCCCCACTGGAGCTCTCTACTCTAACCCCATTCCCTGCTCTCTCTCTCTCTCTCTCTCTCCCCATGGTGTCTGTGCTGGGGCTCGCTCCCCCACTGGAGCTCTCTACTCTAACCCCATTCCCTGCTCTCTCTCTCTCTCTCTCTCTCTCCCCATGTTGTCTGTGCTGGGGCTCGCTCCCCCACTGGAGCTCTCTACTCTAACCCCATTCCCTGCTCTCTCTCTCTCTCTCTCTTCCCATCGTGTCTGTGCTGGGGCTCGCTCCCCCACTGGAGCTCTCTACTCTAACCCCATTCCCTGCTCTCTGTTCTCTGGTTGGGAGTCCAGATGATGAGAGGAAAGCCAGCCAGGGTGCTGATGGCCGGTCATTGTCGCTCGCTGGAGAGTTGGGGTGTGTTAGGATGAGCTTGGCAGTGATGGGTGGACAGCGACCGACAGTCACTGTCTGGCCTCACAGGTGAGGGAGCGGCTGATCATGGGGAGGGGGAGAGGTGTCAGTGACTCTCTTTACTGTTGTTCTGAAGGAAAAAGTTGAAAGGGGTTAGTGGTGGCGTCCGGGGTGTGTGAGCTGCCTGAGGCCCTGACTCTGCTGTCAGGGCAGAAACCTGACACCAACCAGTGTCCAGCCGTAGATGGTGATGTGAGTGTGCGCTCTGGGAGTCACACACTCACATACACACTCCCCCTCCCCATGATCAGCCGCTCCCTCACCTGTGAGGCCAGACAGTGACTGTCAGTCGCTGTCCACCCATCATTGCTAAACTCATCCTAACACACCCCAACTCTCCAGTGAGCGACACTGTGTGTGACACACACACACACACACACTCACATACACACACACACACTCACATACGCACACACTCACATACGCACTCACACACACACTCACTCACACACACACACACTCACATAGACACTCACACAGTCATGCACACACACTCACTTACACACAGACACACACTCACGTATGCACACACTCTCTCACACACACACACACACACACACGTGCGCTGATGGTGTGAAACATGATCACTGCCTACAGGGTGTCAGCGTTTTCCCAACCTCAGAGCGGATCACGTCAGCCCTGCCACGGCTCCTCTTTCTCTCCCCTCTCCCTCATCTACCAGATTCTTTCCTCCCTACCTCCCCCTGTCCCAGCCCCTCTCCCTACTTCTTCGTCTACCAACTCCTCTGTCCCTGCCCCTCCCTCACGCTGCACCATACTTCTTTCTCTCTCTATTCCCCCACTCGGAGCTTATTGAGATATGCCAGTTCCTTTCCCTCCCTCTTCACACACACACACCATCCCCTCTCTACACTGAACCCCAACCAATACCCCAGGACCGTTCCTTCCCCCCCAACTCCTCTATCACCACATCTCTTCCCCCCCACCTCCAATCACCACCTGAAATTCAGTATAACCTGTGAAGCGCTCTGCGATGTCTCGAAGATATCACATTCAAGTATTATTATTATATAACTGGCTGCTGGGTTCTGGGCATGGTTTGCTGTTGCTGTGCTGGTGGGAGCACAGAGGGTGTGTGTGTTTGTGTGTGAGTGAGTGAGTGGTACAGAACACTGAGCAGCATCAGCAGGTTGTAGGAGGAGGAGAATAACAGGAGAGGAAGAGCTGTCAAGGGTACAGTGGGTACGGGGCGGGGAGGGGCGCGGTGGGGGTTGTGTTTCACTGGGAGCTGCTGCCGGAGTTACAGCGGGTTTGGTTACTGTGACACTATCCGCTGCCCTGGGGCACAGTGTGAAACACAACAGCTCAGTCACCACAGTTGGGGGGAAGGGGGGAGGAAAGAGTGGGGGGGGTAGTAGCTGGTGAAAGGGACATTTTAGAGCACTCGCCTCGCAAGCGAGTGGACCTGGGTTCAATTCCTCGCAGGGCAAAGCTTTAGGCAATATTCTGGCCCCGGTTTACCGAGCAGTAAGTAGGAACCCAGTTGTCAGTCAGTTGGCATCGCTTTCCAGGGGCAATAATTCCTTCAGAGAAAAAAAATTGGTCATTCAATCCACAACTGTTTATGGGACACTGCTGTATGCAATTGGCTGCCGCGTTTAGCCCACAAAATATACAGTAACTACACTATATTCTGTGAAGCGCTTTGAGACGTCTCAACAATGTGATAAGGTGCTATATCACATGCACGGATTATTATTAATCTGTGCAGTTTATACCGACTCCTGTCTTTCCCCAACCCTAGGCCTGGGTCCTTCAGCAGAGGCCAATACAATGCACCCACTCCCGGCCTGGGACACTGGAGATGGCACAGGTTTGCAGAGTGGGGGGGGGGGGCGGGAGGTTTCTTTTAAAAGAGGACAGTGGAGAAAACCTCTTGCGGATCTGTGCTCTCCCTAACCCGGCCACGCTGACACACACTCACCCTCTCAGCCAAGTGTCTCAGTCACTCTCACTCTGGCACCAATACACACTCTGAGCTCACAGTCCAGGCTGACACTCCAGCCCAGCGCTGGGGGTGGGGGAAGCACTGCACTGTCCGAGACGCCGTCCTTTCGGATGAGACCTAGGTCGAGGTACTCGTCTGCGCCTGTGATCGTAAAGACCCTGTGAGCTCCTCAAAAAGATCTTAGCACGAGGGAAGGAGGGAGCGAGCGAGAGAAGGAGGAGTGAGGGAGCGAATGAGAGAGGTGGGGAGGGAGTGAGTGAATGAGCGAGGGAGGGAGCGAGGGAGGGAGGGAGGCAGCAGCAGCAGTGACAGGATGTGGGATGGGTTGTTCTCTGACTCTGTGTCCTGTGTCCCAGCCGATGCTGACAAGGGGGAGCTGGACCTGAACGGCATTGATGACACTGAAATTGAAAGGGTGAGCAATGGGGGCTTGGCACGGGGGGGGGGAGGAGAGTCAGCACACTGTGGGGTGGAGAGGGGCAGAGGTGCTGTGTGGGGGGTGGGGACGGGGAACGATCACTGCTCAACACAGCCCAGTTCCCCCTCCATCGTTCACACACAACCTCCTCGGGCTGGGGAAGCCTCCACACTGTCACACAGCACTAACCCCCACCCCCCCCCCCCCCCCCCACACACACACACACACACACACACAGCACTAACTCTCCCCCCCCCACACACACACACGACACTAACTCTTCCCCCCACCACACAAACACACACACACGACACTAACTCCCCCCCCCCACATACACACACACACACACACGATACTAACTCTCCCCCCACATAAACACACACACTAACTCTCCCCCCCCCACACACAAACAAACACATGGTACTAACTCCCCCCCACGCACATGGCACTAACTCTCCCCCCAACCCACTGATGCCCCCTCCCACACAGTGTTACCCGCTGACTGTCTGTGTGCCTGGTGTTTCCCCTCAGTACATCCTGAACGAGAAGGAGGTGGAGGTGAAGACGGAGCTGTGGCTGAGGGAGAACGCAGACTACCTGAAACAGCAGAAAGGTGAGCGTCTGAGACAGTGTGTGGCTGGTGCCCGCACCCCCCACACACACACACACACAGCCCGGCCCAACTCGCTGATACAGAAGACACTGTAAAGTGTAGTGACTGTGTATTTTGTGGGCGAAACGCGGCAGCCAATTGCGCACAGCAGCGTCCCCACAAGCAGCCGTGGATTGAAGTGACCAATTTATCATTATTATATTTTAAATTGTTTTGAAGGGGGTTATTCCCCCCCAGAAAAGCGAACCGCCAATCGACTAACAACCGAGTTCCTACTCACTGCACTGCCGGGTAAACAGAGGCGGGTGGAGTAAGGAAACTTGCCCAACATTTCGCTTGCGAGACGAGTGCTCTAACCACCAAGCTACAGGACTCCACTGCTCCCCGTCCCATTCAGCCGTCGAGTAATCCTCGTCTCATGTTCTTGTATCTTTTAGAGAAGGAGGAGAGAATAGCCAAAGAGAAGGAACTCGGCATCTTCAAAGAGCAGAAGGTGACGGCTGTCAGTGTAGAGAACACTCGCCCGCGATGGTGACTGTTACAGCCACGGGGTGAAGGGATCGAGGTGTCCAGGTCTCTCACTGCGGCCTCCTGTGTGTCTAACACCCCGTCGCTAGCACACTGACACCGGGGGCACAAAGCAGACACCCCCACCACACACACACCACACACACACCACACACCACACACACACCACTCACACCACACAAACATACTACACACACCACACACACAAACACACCACTCACACACACCCCACACAAACACACCACTCACACACCACACACCATTCATTCACACTCACACCACACACACACACACCACTCACACACACACACACACACACACCCCCCCACACAAACACACCACTCACACACCACACACCATTCATTCACACTCACACCACACCACTCACACATACCACACCATTCACACACACACCACTCACACACACACACCACACCACTCAACAACAACAACAACAAGATTCCATTTATTGAGCGCCTTTCACGTCAGGAGGACGTCCCAAGGCGCTGCTCAGACATACACACACCACACAAATACAAACACACACACCACACCCATACACACCACTCACACACATCATACACACACAAACCACACACCACTCGCACACACACCGACTCACACACCCACACCACACACACCACTCAGACAAATACACCCACACCACTCACACACACCCCCACACCATATACCACTCACACCCACACCACTCATACACATTACTCAGACACATCACACACCACTCACACACAGAACACACACACACACCAGAGGGGTGTTGGGTTCTGGCTATCGCTCAGGTATTTATTCCCCCCTCTCTCTCCGCAGCCTCGGAAATCATCTAAGAAGCGAGAGCCCATCCACGCGAGCACAGCGGGGGAGGCCATTGAGAAGATGCTGGAGCAGAAGAAGATCTCGAGTAAGATAAACTACGACGTGCTGAGAGATCTGAACAGCAAAGGGAGCAGCACGCCGGGGCGAGAGGAGAGCCCGACCAGCGAGAGCCCGGCCAACAACCCCAGGAAACCGGGGGGCCAGCGCCGGACCCCCAGCACTGCCCGCAGCCTCGCTGGCCCTGTCAGTAACCTGGGCAAGAGGTACGTGCCGTGACGTCCCACAGACGCATAACAGTGTAGTGACTGTTTGTACACAAACACAGGCTCGGCTGCCAGCAACTCATCAGGAGGATTTACTGACCAGCTGTTACTGACCAGGAATCTACATTCAGCGCCCAGCACTGAGTCTGTGTGCAGTGTGTAGCTCAGTGGTTAGAGCCCTTGCCTCGCAAGCGAGAGGACCCGGGTTTGATTCCTGGGTAGGACGAAACCTTAAGCAAGTTTCCTCACTCCTCTGATTACCCAACAGTAAGTAGGAACCCAGATTAGCGGATCACTTTTAGTCGATTGGTAACAATCCCTTCAAAAAAATAAAAATAATTTGGTCGCTCAACCCACGGCTGTCTGTGGGAACACTGCTGTGCGCAAATGGCAGCCGCGATTCTCCCACAAAATACACAGTCAATTCACTTTACAGCACCCTGGGACATCCTCCCGACATGAAAGAGCACTCGCTTTGCAAGTGAGAGACCTGAGTTCAATTCCAGGCAGAGGGCGAAACCTCGGGCAAGTTTCCTTACTCCACACAGAGCCTAATAATAATCCCTTCAAAAACCAAAAACAATAATTAATTGGTCATTTTCAATCTACGACTGTTTGTGGGACATTGCTGTGCACAATTGGCTGCCGCGTTCGCCCACAAATATACAGTCAATTCACTTTGCAGTATGTTCTGTGAAGCGCTTTGGGACGTCCTCCTGACGTGAAAAGCGCTATATCAAATGCAAGGATTATTATTATTATTATTAAAGGCACTATACAAATGTAATTTTGTATTATGTTGTATGTGCTGTGAATCGTCTCGGAGACATGATCAGGTGCATATCAAACACAAGGAATATTATTATTATTATTATGATAGTAAAATAGCCTGTGAAGCCGAGGCAGTGTCTGTGTGCTGCTCGATCTGCCAGTTGACTAACAACCGGTTTCTATTTACTGCTGAGTAAACAGAGGCGCGTGGAGTAAAGAAACTTGCCTAAGTATATTCTATGAAGCGCTTTGAGACGTCTCGACAACGTGATAAGGTTCTATATCAAATGTGAGGATTATTATTATTAAGGTTTTGCCCCACCCGTGAATCAATCCCAGGTTCTCTCGCTTGCGAGGCGAGTGCTGTGACCACCAGCGTAACACGACTCCGCAAAGTGGCAGTAAGTGGCAGACTGTAGGATTGTGTGAGTCACTGTTAGTGTGAAGGTCACAGTGGCTACAGCTCAGTGTCGTTCGGAAACACATCCAACGCAATTCCCTTCGATTGAAATATTGTAGGTTTTAAAAGTGATTAGTTTTCCCCACTCACTTTGTGCTGCGCTGTCAGTACCTGCTGCTGCAGTAATAATAATAATAATAATCCTCGCATTTGATATAGCGCTTTTCACGTTTTCTCGACGTCTCAAAGCGCTTCACGGAATATGCTGTAAAGTGAATTGACTGTATATTTGTGGGTGAAACGCGTACAGTACAGCACTTGTGAGGTCCTTGTAGCAAGCAAGGGGACCTGGTTTCAATTCTCGGGCAGGACAAAACCTTAGGCAGGTTTCCTTACTCCACACGCCTCTGTTTACCGAGTGGTAAAGTGGGATCCCAGTTGTTAGACGATTGGCAGATCGCTGTTCCAGAGGTAATAATCCCTCCAAAAAAAAATGTGGTCATTCAATCCACAACTGTTTGCTGTACTGAATTGGCTGCCCTCTTTCGGCCAATTCTCCCAGTCACTCCACTTTAACATAACATGTAGGACCAGGAGTAGGCCATTCGGCCCTTCGAGGCTGCCCGGCCATTCAATCATGGCTGATCTTCTAATCTAACTCCAGCTAATAACCTAACTCTGCCTTATCCCCATATCCCTTCATCCCTTTTGCAATAAGAAATCTATCCATCTCAGTCTTGAATATGTTCAAGGACTGAGCGTCAACAGCCCTTTGGGGTAGGAGTCCTGTAGCTCAGTGGTTAGAGCACTCGCTTTGCAAGTGAGAGACCTGAGTTCAATTCCCGGGGGGTCAGGGCCAAACCTCGGGCAAGTTTCCTTACTCCACACAGAGCCTAATAATAATCCCTCAAAAAAAAAACCAAAACAATAATAAATTGGTCATTTTCAATCCACGACTGTTTGTGGGACATTGCTGTGCGCAATTGGCTGCCGCGTTCGCCCACAAATATACAGTCAATTCACTTTACAGTGTGTTCTGTGAAGCGCTTTGGGACGTCCTCCCGACGTGAAAAGCGCTATATCAAATGCAAGGATTATTATATTGTTATAGTGAATTCCATACATTCACCGCCCTTTGAGTGAAGAAGTTCTTCCTCAACTCAATGCGAAAGGGCTGCCTCTGATTTTAAGGTTGTGACCCCTGGTTTTAGTTTCTCCAACCGGGGGACACAATCTCCCACTATCTACACTATCATGCCCTTTGATTCTTCTATATTAGAGAGAATATAGGCCCAAATTGGTCAGCCTATCCTCGTAACTCTTCCCCTTCATCCCTGGTACTAACCCAGTAAATCTACGCTGCACCCCCTCCAAGGCAAGTACATCCTTCCTTAAATGAGGAGACCAAAACTGCACACAGTATTCCAGGTGTGGTCTCACAGGGCCCTATACAGTTGCAGCAAAGACTTCCCTACTCTTATACTCTAATCCTTTTATAATGAACTCTAACATACCGTTCCCCTTCCTAATTGCTGCTGCACCGCAGACTAACTTTCTGTGATTGGTGTACAGGAACACCCGATTCCCTCTGGAGCTAACACATTCCAATCTCTCCCCTTCTAAAAAATAACCCGCTCTGTTGTTTTTGCTCCCGAGGTGGATGACTTTGCACTTCCCTACATTATACTTCATCTGCCACCTACCTGCCCAATCACCTAACCTATCTGTCTCGCTGTATTTTTTTTAATGTCGTCCTCTGTGTTGGCACTTCCTCCTAGTTCTGTGTCATCCACGAATTTAGATATATTAGCTTTACAGTATATTCTGCTTCGAGACGTCGCAACAGCGTGATAAGGTGCTATATCAAATGCAAGGATTATTATTATTATTCCTGCTCCTGTAACATGAGAATCTCGGGCAGATTTACAGCAAATTGATTGTACACAAACGCAGTAGCCATTTCTCCCAGAGCGAGGTCCCGTGAGCAGACACTTTGGATTCCTCACCCACCCCAGACCCCCAAACATACAAACACACTCTCTTTTTCCTGTCTTATCTTTTTTTCTCTCCCTCGCTCTTTTCTCTCACCTTCACTCTAGTTTTCACTGTATCACAAACACATTCTCTCTCGATTTTTCTTTCTTTCTCTTTCACTCTGTCTTTCTCTCACTTTGTTTTTCCTCTGCCTGTCTCTCTCTCTCTCTCTCTCTCTTTCTCTCTGTCTCACACACATGTCGTACAGAAGCACATGTTCTGATGCTTGTCTATAGGCCTGTGCGTGTATGCTCTCTGGTTGTGCCAATAATAAGGTGTCTGGTCACGTTTTGAGGTCAGACACTCTCGGAACTATTACGATCCGGGCTTATGCCCTCATTTCCTGACCTGTTAAATTGAGTACCTGTGTGTGTGTGTGTGTGTGAGATTGTAGGTCACTCTGGCTCTGGAGACTTAGCCTGATCTACATTGGTAACATTTATTATTGTCCACATTTCTCAAACGGAAACTCGCTGCAGTTGTTTTCTCTAAAAAATTGAGAGATATAAGATTGTTACACTTTAGACAGTCAAGAAATTACAGGGAAATCACATGCTGCTCACTCCCCCACTGGAGCTCTACACTTTACAGTTTATTCCATGAACTCTAACCCCATTCCTTGCTCTCTCTCTCTCCCTATCGTGTCTGTGCTGGGGCTCGCACCCCCACTGGAGCTCTCTACTCTAACCCGATTCTCTGCTCTCTCTCTCCTCATGGTGTCTGTGCTGGGGCTCGCTCCCCCATTGGATATCTCTAACCCTATTCTCTGCTCCCTCTCTCCCCATCGTGTCTGTGCTGGGCTCACTCCCCCACTGGAGCTCTCTGGGGGAGAGAGCAGGGAATGGGATTAGAGTAGAGAGGTCCAGTGATGGGAAGCGAGAGAGAGAGAGAGACTTGTCCCCCGCTGTCCCGAGGCTCCACTATTACTTGTTAAATCTCTGGTGAGTTCCAGCTGTCAGTCAGGATCCCCAGCGCCCGGCCAGAGCCGTGTCTCCCTGTTACACTGAACATGTTGTGAGTGTCAGCGAGGGCTGGATCTGTCAGGCCTGTCACAGGAGGTTACTGTCTGCTCACGGAGCAGTGGCAGGAACGTCAGCAAAGTTATCACAGGCTGGAACCCAGAGTGTTCACACTGAGCTCCAGCTGCTCCTCAGTGTCTCATAGCCTTGTCCTCAGTCCCTTCCCTCCAGTCAGCAGCTTTTTACTGTGAAACCTTACATTAATAGCACTAATCCCCGCATTCGATGTAGCGCCTTTTCACATCGTTGAGACGTCTCAAACACTTCATGGAATAAACTGTAAAGTGTAGTGACTGTATTTTGTGGGCAAAGCACAACAGCCAATCGCACACAACAGCATCCCCACAAACTGACGTGGATTGAGTGACGACATTGTTTTTGGAGGGATTATTACCTCCGGAAAGCCAATCGACTAACAACCGGGTTCCTACTGACCGTTGGGTAAACAGAGGCGCGTGTGTGGAGTAAGGAAACTTGCCTAAAGTTTCGCCCCCTGCCCGGGAATCGAACCCAGGGCCTCTCGCTTGCGAGGCGAGTGCTCTGACCACTAACCTACAGGAATCTTCTCTGTGACCTTCTCTGTGAAGGACTCATTTGGAAGCAGGTGAGAGGCCTCGCCCTGGATTGAGGTCAAACAGCGACATCTGTGCTGTGAAGCTCTTGGCTTCTCTCATTCGCTTGAATGTTCAGTTCTCTTCTCTGAGGCCATGTCTCAGCCTCTCTCTCTCTTCCCGGCTTATTTACAGACTCCGGCCTCTGATTTCCGCAGGACCTGCAAAGAAAGCGTCACTTAACCAGGTAAGGAGTCTTCATGGGAGTGTGATGGGGACTGTAACAGAATCAAAAGTGTGTCGCTGTGCACATCTGTGTCTCTGCGTGCCTGTGTGTGTGCATGTGTGTGTCTCTGTGCTTGTGTGTGTGTGTGTCTCTATACTGTGTTTCTCTGCGCTGTGTGTGTCTGCGTCTCTGTGTGTCTGCGTCTCTGTGTGTCTGCGTCTCTATGTGTCTGAGTCTCTGTGTGTCTGCGCGTGTGTGTGTGTCTGCGTGTGTCTGTGTTTCTCTGCTCCGTGTGCGGTGATTGAGTGTATTGTTTCTTCGGCAGGGCACTGGTCTGGCTGTGGAGGAGGGAGAGGGGGTGACGGAGCCGGTGCTGGTGGAGAGTGGCCCCGTGGTTTACACCAACGACGAGGAGGTGGTGGAGGAGGAGGAGGAAGAGGAAGAGGAGCCCTGTGTGAGCGCGCTCCAGCTGATCGGAGGCAACGGTAAGAGATACAGCTCAGCCTCACCGCGAGGTCTGTCACCGCGGCTCTGTGTCTGTCCGCTCTTGGGGTCTCTCTCTCAGCCGAGTGAGGGCAGTGGGTCAGCGCTGGTCTCTCCCCATGTCTGGACGGAGATGGATGGGATGTGCTGAGGGCGGGGGGTGGGCGTGGAGCAGAGAGAGAGAGAGACTGGTGTGCGTGCTGTGGGAATGTTTGCTCGTTCCCAGTATTGGGAACGCCTCTTGCTCTTGCTCCGGTGTTGGGATGGCCACTCGCTCGCTCCCACTCCTCACTGATCGTGGGTCTCTGTCTCTCCCCCCCACCACCAGACTACGGCTGTGAAATGGAAGATGAGGAGGGATTCTAGGAAGCTCTCGCCACTTCCCGAAGGCTGTCAGAAAGTGGGAAGCGGATCCAGGCGGAATATTACTCAGGATTGGCCGGGATCTGCCTACTCCCGGGCTCCCCGGGGACCAGCTTTCTTATGGAGTGGGAATGGTGCCTGGGGACGGTGTGGAGGCTGAGGGTGGGACTGACAGGGGCTGGGCTCTGGCTGGGCTCCGAATCTGTGGGTTTGTGTCTCGCTCCGCACTCGAGGAGCCGAGAGCAGGACAGTGTGACAGGCAATCGTACAGATTTAATGTTGTTTGATCTGTTTTGAGAAGAAAATCTTATTTATTTCAGTTATGCCCATTTTAGGTTTCCGGGAGGTTGCTGCCATGGGGTGAGGCTGACAGGACATGGAGGCGGGTGGTGGTGGGGGAGACTCTTACAGGAGGAGGGAGAGAAACCCTCACGGGCGGAGAGAAAGACCCTCACGGGGAGAGAGAGAGCGACCCTCACTGGGGCGGGAGAGAGAGAGAGACCCTCATGGGGGTGAGGAGGGAGAGAGAGACCTCACGGGTGGGGAGGAGAGAGGGAGACCGTCACAGAAGGAGAGGGAACCTGCCGAACCCCAGGGGCTCCTCGGGAGCTGGTCTGTGTCACAGATGAATTGGGGGCAACTCCTCGTTTTCCCCAGTGATGAGCCACACAGGCTGTGCTCTCCCTGCACTGACATTGGTCTGTGGGTCAGTCAGATTGGGGCAGGGCCCTGTGAGAGGGGGTGTGGCCCTGTGACCGGGGGTGTGGCCCTGTGACCGGGGGTGTGGCCCTGTGACCGGGGGTGGGCCCTGTGACGGGGTGTGGGCCCTGTGACCGGGGGTGTGGCCCTGTGACCGGGGGTGTGGCCCTGTGACCGGGGGTGTGGCCCTGTGACCGGGGGTGGGGCCCTGTGACCGGGGGTGGGGCCCTGTGACCGGGGGTGGGGCCCTGTGACCGGGGGTGGGGCCCTGTGACCGGGGGTGGGGCCCTGTGACCGGGGGTGGGGCCCTGTGACCGGGGGTGGGGCCCTGTGACCGGGGGTGGGGCCCTGTGACCGGGGGTGGGGCCCTGTGACCGGGGTGGGGCCCTGTGACCGGGGGTGGGGCCCTGTGACCGGGGGTGGGGCCCTGTGACCGGGGGTGGGGCCCTGTGACCGGGGGTGGGGGCCCTGTGACCGGGGGTGGGGCCCTGTGACCGGGGTGGGGCCC